ATACATATATATTCTTTTTCATACTCTTTTCCATTGTTTTATCACAGGATATTGAATAGAGTTCCCTGTGCTATACAGTAGGACCTTGTTTTCTATCCATTCTCTATGTAATAGTTTGCATCTGCTAACCCCAAACTCCCAATCCATCCCTCCACCGCACCCTCTCCCCCTTGGCGACCACAAGACTGTTCTCTATGTCTGTGAGTCTGTTTCTGTTTCGTAGATAAGTTCAGTTGTGTCATATTTTAGATTCCACATATAAGTGGGATCATATGGTATTTGTCTTTCTCTTTCTGACTTACTTCCCTTAGTATGATAATCTTTAAGTCCATCCAAGCAAATGGCATCATTTCATTCTTTTTTATGGCTGAGTGATTGTCCGTTGTGTGTGTATATATATACACCCCATCTTCTTTATCCATTCATCTGTAGAGGGACATTTAGGTTGTTTCCATGTCCTGGCTATTGTGAACAGTGCTGCTATGAACATTGGGGTGCATGTATCTTTTCAAATGATGGTTTTCTCCGGATATACGCCCAGGAATGAGATTGCTGGATCACATGGTAGCTCTATTTTTTATTTACTTGGCTGTGCCAGGTCTTAGTTGCAACATGCAGGATCTTCATTGTGGCATGTGGGCTCTTTTAGTTGCAGCATTCGGGCTCTCGGTTGCAGCATGCATGTGGGATCTAGTTCTCTGACCAGGGATCGAACCCAAGCCCCCTGCATCGGGAGCACAGAGTCTTAACCACTGGACCACCATGGAAGTCCCTGGTAGCTCTAATTTTAGTTTTTTGAGGAACCTCCATAATGTTCTCCATAGTGGCTGCACCAATTTACATTCCCAGCAGTGTAGGAGGGTCCCTTGAAAAGTTATAATTTTTAGTGTACTCAGAAGTTTAGAAACTTTGTTAAAATGATGCAGATGGGACAGAATATTTAGATTTTTAAAGACCAAAATTAGAGCATAAAGAATGTGTTCTTGTTTGGCTAGACTGTTGGTTTAAAAAAATGATTTTCAATATATTTGGTCATAGGGTTTTGTGCACTCTTGGAAATTTGAAATGACTGCAAAAAGGGAATTCAAAAATCATTTTGTGAAAATGGTATATTTTCTCTATTTCTTCCTTTCAGTCTCTTTCTGTACACAAACTTGAATATTCTTTTTCCCAAACATTTGCAGACATCATGATACTTCAGTATGCATTTCCTGTTAGTAAGAACATACTCTCACCTGCCCACGAAAACTCTATCACACCAAAACTTTTTTTAAAATTCACACCTAAGAAAACAAATAATAATTCCATAATATCTAATAGGCAGTCCTATTTAAATATCAGCAATGCCAACAATAATTAAGCTCTTGTTTTTTTGTTTTTTAAAAGAAGAATCCAATTAAGTTTCACCCATCACGTTTGGTTGTTTTGTCTCTTGAGAGTCTAATCTTTTTAGCCCAAACTCATCATTTCTGACAGGAGAAAAATACTGTTGAGATGAGGTGATTTGCCCAAGGCTGATGCACAGAGCATATGCTCCATTTCACTTAAGTAGGATTTTGTAGTAAGATAGCTTTAAATTTTAAAGTAATTTTAAAATGATAAGTATCAAAGATGTCATCATCGTGCAGGAATTGCTTCTCCTCTCTTAGCAATACTGAACCTTCAGGACACGTCACATATTGTCCTGGACATTTGCATTTGTTAGCTTAGTTAACATGTCACAAACCCCACGGTGATGACTCAGAGACGCTGTCCTGTCACACAGCAGAAGCTCAGAGCTGTTGCCATCCTGAGCTGGGTCTGGAGGCTGGCAGAAGACCTGGACGGATCTGCTGAGCCTTAATACCACTTTTCTGCTCTGACTCTTCAGGGCAGCAACACATGCTGCCTCTGAGTATATTTCGAGACTGCAGTGGGCCCTCTGTACCCACGGGTTCCGCATTCGCGGATTCAACCAATCGCGGATTGAAAATACTCGGAAAAAAAAAAAGGAAAGTTCTGAAAAGGCAAACTTGAATTTGCTGGGCACTGGCAACTATTTACATAAAATTTACATTGGATTAAGTATTGTAAGTAATCCAGGGATGGTTTAAAGTAGACCAAGGATTGTATGGTAGGTTATAGGCAAATACTGTGCTATCATTTTATATCAGGGAGTTGAGCATCCTCGGATTTTGGTATCTGCGGAGGTCCTGCAACCAGTCTCCCGCTGATACCGGGGGGGGGGGGGTGACTGTATATTTGTAAACTGTATGTAACTTTTCGACTGAAGTCATAAAAATAAATGGCGCCCTCTCCCCAGCGAATTGCCTGCCAGTATTCTCAATAGCTGGCGCTGGAGAGTCAATCAGATGCCTCTTTGGAGAAAGGAAAAGTGGCGAGCAAGGCAAGGTGAAATATTCAGCCTTTGATGCTTTGGCCAACACAGACTAATGGGGTTCCTAGGACTCATTTTGGCAATAAAGGGTGACTGCAGAACACTTAGTAACAGTAAGAGGAAGAACAGGTGATTCAAATGAGAAATACTGCTGCTAAATGAACCTGGATTGAAAGTAAGATTAATGAAAGTGGCTCTTTCTCTTGCTGCTTCTGTTTTTTTTTTCTCGGTGAACTATATGAAGATGCCAAGGTAGATACCTTGGTTTATTTGCCTTTGATTTCCCTGGACTTCATGCATAGTTTGCAATATACATTGGTATTCAGATACTACATTAATTAAGCAAATATTTCCTGAATACATCTGTGTGCCGGGTGCTGTGCTGGTCCTGCCCCGAGATAAGAAACAGGCGATTTCCATCCTGCTTGGTAAGCTTGATGGACGATGGGGTAAGTTCTTAGTGTTGCAGACTTGGGAGGGACAGGAGGCTTCCAGGAGGAGGTGCCACTTAAGTCGAGACTGAAGGTCGAGTAGTGATTCAAGTAGGCTGAACTGAATGGGTGAATTTTCTTTGAAGCAGCTTAAAGCCACAGGGAGCAGGAAACTATTAGCACAGATCTTTCTTGTTTGAAATGGCAACCAACTGGTGAGAGTGGTAGCCTGTGTGTAGGAAACCAAGGGACGGGGACAAGGACATATATACCCTTTTACACCTTTTATTTTTATTTATTTATTTTTAAAATTTATTTATTTTTGGCTGTGTTGGGTCTTCATTGCTGTGCGCGGGCTTTCTCTAGTTGCAGCGAGCAGGGGCTACTCTGCATAGCGGTGCGCAGGTTTCTCATTGCAGTTGGTGGCTTCTCTTGTTGCAGAGCACGGGCTCTAGGCTCACGGGCTTCAGTAGTTGCAGCACGAAGGCTCAGTAGTTGTGGCTCGCGGGCTCTAGAGTGCATGCTCAGTAGTTGTGGTGAACAGGCTTAGTTGCTCCGCGGCATGTGGGATCTTCCCGGACCAGGGATCGAACCTGGGACCCCTGCATCGGCAGGTGGATTCTTAACCACTGCACCACCAGGAAAGTCCCTTACACCTTTTAAATTGTCTACTAATTTGTTTGAGTAATTAAAATGATTTTTTTGTACTTCTTGGCACCCCTTTGAGAAAATTTTAAAAAAGAAAACAATGAATTTATGTTCTAGATGGAAGGTCACCGCAGGGAACAGAACAGGGAAGGACATAAATGCATCCCCCTTCAATTGAGCAAAATTTGAGGATGCTGTAAACTTGACAGTGGTCTAAGGGAAGGGGCTGTGATTTCCAATGTGTGAGCATGTTGTGGGCTTATCCAGCGTCCAAAGACAGGAGACCAGGATGGTGAAGCTGTTAAGAGGCAGGGAATGAATGTGAATGGGTTCATTAAAATCTTGGCAATTTTTTTTTAAAAAGGAAACCTCTAGAAACAGAAACAGGGAGACAATCCGGAAAAAGAAGAGAAAAGAAGACTATAGGAAATATGGCAAATGCATCCCCTAAGCAATTAATCCATTTCTTTTGATCCTTTGTTTTATATAATTGCTGCATTTCACAATGAGAAGCAGACAAAGGGCAGTTTTGATGAGGAATGTTTGTACAGGTGACGAAGCAAATACGTTTACAAGAGGGTTAGTATTATCGTGCGAGAGTGTTCAGGTGCGATTTTATTTTACTTTTTTATTGAGGTATAATTGATTTACAATGTCAAGTTAGTTTCAGGTGTACAGCAAAGTGATTCAGTTATATACATATTCAATAATACATGTATGCTCTTTTTCAGATTCTTCTCCCTTGTCGTTATTACAAAATACTGAGTACAGTTCCCTGGGCTATACACACTTCTGCTATATACACTTGTTGGTTATCTATTTTATATATAATAGTGTGTATATGTTGATCCCAAACTCCTAATTTATCCCTCCCCGCCCTTTCCCCTTATGGTAACCATACGTTTGCTTTCTATGACTGTGGGTCTATTTCTGTTTTGTATATGAGTTCATTTGTATCATTTTTTTGAATTCCACATATAAGCGATATCATATTATATTTGTCTTTCTCTGTCTGGCTTACTTCACTTAGTATGATAATCTCTAGGTCCGTCCATGTTGCCGCAAATGGGAGATGGGAATTTTTTAATGGAGCGATTTGTTTTTACTTTTTGAAATTTGTGTTAGGGCAGCATGTTAAAGAAAATGTAAGTCTTCTAAACCCAGTGCAAACCATGAAGTTTGTGGGGAGGGTACACGTGTTGGGTCAGGAAGGCTGCATTTGAGTCCTGGCTCTGTCACTCACTAGCTCTGGAACTTTGGAGATATTATTAAGTTTCTCCACATTGCGTCTCTCTCCGTGGTATCGAGGTAGTAACCCACGTGAGAGGGTTGTTTTGAAGGCTGACGATGAAGTGGCGGCTCAGAACACCATCCTCATGTTATTTCCACTGGGCAGGATGGCCAGAGTCCTGGGAGACCACCCAGCTCCTGGGTGGGGAAGTGGTTGCTCCATAGTTCTGGAAAAAAGACGTACGAAGTGCAGGCAACCCACTGATCAGCGAGAAATTCCTGATGGCTTACTGGGCTGTTCACTTTCTCTGCAGCCTCCCACAGGAAAAGAGTCGGACCTCCGTAATAGGAACCAGAGAGCCCCAGACCCAGGTAAGTCACAGTTCGTTGAAACAGAGCAGTGGAACAGCTAAGGGAGGAAAGAGGGAAAATCCTCAAGAGAAAAGCAGACATGTCAAGAGGCTTTTACGGATTTGGGGGAGAGGGAAATTGGCAAAGGACGTTTCTGTGTCTGTGGAGGAGGGGCGAAGCATATTCTAGGTCTAGGTGGGAGATGACAAAAAGCAGAGGAAACACAAAACTATCAAATGTCTGCGGTAACATTTTCGAGCAACTAGAGCAAGACGTGGGTGAATGAGAGGTCAAAAAAGGATTGTATGAGCGTATTTTTAAAAAAATACATACAAGAACGGGACTTCCCTGGAGGTCCAGTGGTTGAGACTTCACCTTCCAGTGAAGGGGGTGCGGGTTGGATCCCTGGTTGCGGGGCTAAGATCCCGCATGCCTCATGGCCAAAAAACCAAAACATGAAACAGAAGCAAGGGCCTCCCTGGTGGCGCAGTGGTTAAGAATCCGCCTGCCAATGCACGGGACACGGGTTCAAGCCCTGGTCCGGGAAGATTCCCACATGCTGCGGAGCAACTAGGCCCGTGTGCCACAACTACTGAGCCTGTGCCCTGGAGGCCACGAACCGCAACTACTGAGCCCACGTGCCATAACTACTGAAGCCCACGCACCTAGAGCCCAAGCTCTACAACAAGAGAAGACACCACAATGAGAAGCCCGCGCACCGCAACAAAGAGTAGCCCCTGCTCACTGCAACTAGAGAAAGCCCGCGCACAGCAACGAAGACCCAACGCAGCCAAAAATAAATAAGTAAATAAAATTTATATAAAAAAAAAACAGAAGCAATATTGTAACAAATTCAGTAAAGGCTTTAAAAATAGTCCACATCAAAAAAAAATCTTAAAAAAATACATACAAGAACACAAAGTTGGATTTATATTGTTTCAATGCCTTCATCAAATAAGTGACAATAAATATATCTTTTAATGTTATACAAACAATTTACAGGTGCTCTACAATGGGTTTGGGCCCTGTTAGAAATATTTGGAGGGAACAGCCCAGGTAAAAATATTCACATGGAATTTGTACTTATATGTGTCTTGGAAGGGCCCTTAGCCCCTGTGGACCATCCCTGCTGGTTATTTATACTGGCTCCTCCTACTGTCCTGTTGGACCTGATAATTCATATTTGCAAAACACTTTTGAAAAAAAATATCAATACATACAAGACAACTAGAGAAAATCACGTAAGGAAGTCACTTTCCGGGTCAAGGATCCGTAGGCGCTCCCCTTGTCTTGATGTTCAAGGCCTTCTATAACCTGGACCCAATCGTACTTGTCCAGTCTTGACGCCAACTACAATAAATAAATAAGTCATGTATCAAACCCTTGTTGACTTGCTGTCGGGGTCTGGGTACCGAAGGGAGGAAGCCCCCACTGCCCTGTCATCTCACAGGGAATGCCATCCTCTGCGGGTAAGCCAGGCTGCCTCCAGAAAAAAAGAGAGCTGCATCCTCCCTTCTGTTAAGAGGTGAGAAGAAAGAGAATAGCTCAGAGGAGCACAAGTGACGAAGGCATTCCAGAAACTGCTCCCCTGGTGAAGGACCTGGGATTCTTCCTGTTGCCTTGGAAGTTTCCTCAAGCTTCTTCCCCATCTAAGTCCTACCTTCCTTCTCTGGCCACTCAACACATCTGGCCAACAGCCCTCCCCTCAAGGAGTTTGTAAGCTGGTAGAAGAGATTAAACAAGGACTTAGTAACTATGACAGCGGCCAGCATGTGGCAGAAGGAGTGCAAAATGCTACTGGAGAGAGGAGGAGGGTGGAAGAGGAGGGAAAGAAGGTACTAGAATGACTTTGAGAAGGAGGTAACATCGGAGATGGAAAAGCATGGATAGAATGTGGAGAGGTGGTCAAGTTGAAGAAGGGTTGGTTGAGAACCTTGCACGGCTGGATTTGGTACTTTCTTGGGTGTTAGTTTTCAGGTGACAAACCCAGAGAGAGTGATTTGGGCCATCCCGTGAAGAGCCGTTATTGGCAGGCTGAGAAATGCGTACCTAACATAGTAGCCAGTAGGGATCCATTGGAGGTCTTTGAGCAGCAGAGGGACACAGAACAGCGTGATCTCCGGGCTCAAAGGAACTTAAAGGCCTTTGGTTCCATCCAAAGCTTGACATCTCTGACTGTCAAGTTTAGACTTGGCCACTAGATTCTCCTCGTTTTGAGGGTTTAATGAGATGACACTTGTAAAATGCTTAGCTCAGGGTTTGCCAGAGAGTAAAGCTCAATACATCTTGACTGCTGTTGTCAACATCACCATACATTGGGTTACAATTTAGGAATGTTTTCCTTAAGCCTTCTTCCACATTTGTCTTGTAAGACTTTGAAGACAGCTATCCCATTCCTATTTGAGCTTTTTCTTCTCTAGACCGAATATTCTTGGTTTCCTCCACCACTCCACATTCCTTTACCTGCCTGACTGTCTCCAGTTCTTATAAAATGTGTTACATAGGACTTCCCTGGTGGCTCTGTGGTTAAGAATCTGCCTGCCAATGCAGGGGACACGGGTTCAAGCCCTGGTCCGGGAAGATCCCACATGCCTCAGAGCAACTAAGCCCGCAAGCCACAACTACTGAGCCCATGTGACACAACTATTGAGCCTGCGCTCTGGAACCTGCAAGCCGCAACTACTGAAGCCCGTGCACCTAGAGCCCATGCTCCGCAACAAGAGAAGCCACAGCAATGAGAAGCCCGCTCACCGCAATGAAGAGTAGCCTCCGCTGGCCTCAACCAGAGAAAGCCCGCGCACAGCAACGAAGACCCAACACAGCCAAACAAACAAACAAACAAATAAGTAAATGCGGTACATGGAACCCAGTTGTCTGATCACAACTGACCAGGGCAGACCCTTCCCTTCTCTCATTCTACGGAAGATGCCTGAAGTGGAAAAATAATTTAAGATTTTTTTGGGAGTCACACTCAATATAATACTGGCACTCATCACACTGAACTGATGAACATAGTACTGATTTCAACTCCTAAGCCATTCCCGAAGGCACTACTGCTAAGCTATAACCTTTTCTATTCTCTCCTTGTACTTGGTCCCTGCAAAAGACCTCAGATTGCTTTATGATTCTTTCCTCTTATTGTCAGGAAAAATTGTGAAAGGCCTTGAAACGGGCAAAAAGATTACTGAGTTTCCATTCAGTGGATTGCTGGGCATCATCGAGCAGATTCTTCTGGGTTGTCTGGCTTTACGGGGGTCTGTGTCTTTCATTGTTTTTCACAGAACTGTTTTGCAAATATACATTGTAGAAAACACATAGTAGTGATACAAAAAATTCTTGTCCAGAAAGAAAAAAATGAATTTTGTCTGGTGGGCATGCAATTGATTTCCACCCCGTGAAAGAGGCTGCGAGTCTTGCATCGATTAGCAAATTTATTTCAACATTTCTGATTGCTTCTATACTTGTCCGTTCTTTGGATTCCCCTTGGAGCCAGTTGTAATGTTTTACTGCCTTCATGGTTAGTTAATGAGTTAATTAATGGACACATGTTCATTTTATATTAGTATGAGAACCCTTATTCTTAAAATTATTTTTCAGCACTGATTTTCTTATCCCTTCACAAATTGGAAAGGCATGAAAAGGGCAGAAATGAAGACTGATCAAGCAATAGAGACCTCATTTTAAATTGACATGGATTGCAATTGCCAAGATATGGAAGCAACCTAAGTGTCTATCAACAGATGAATGGATAAAGAAGATGTGGTACACACACACACACACACACACACACACACACACACACACACACACGATGGAATACTACTCAGCCATAAAAAGAATGAAATTCTGCTATTTGCTGCAATGTGGATGGTCATAGAAAATATTATCCATAGTGAAATGTCAGAGAAAGACAAATACTGTACGTTATTACTTATATGTGGAATCTAAAAAATAAAACAAACTAGTGAATATAACAAAAAAGAAACATTCACAGATATAGTGGTTACCGACTATGCAGACCGAAGCTATGGTTATCAGTGGGGACAGGGATGGAGGGGGTCACGATAGGTGTAGGGGATTAAGAGGTACAAACTACTATGTATAGAATAAATAAGCCACAAGGATATATTGTACAGCACAGGGAATATAGCCAATATTTTATAAGAACTGTAAATGGAGTGTAAGCTATAACATTTTTGAATCTCTGTGTTGTACACCTGAAACTGACATCATATTGTAAATCAACTATACCTCAATTTTTTTTAAATTATAAGTTTTTTAAAAAAGAAAAGAGATTGACATGGGTCTACCAACCCATATCTTTTGTTAAAGTTGTTCAACAAGTTATTAATCCACTGAACCATACCAACGTGCCTCTACTTACAAACAAGCTGTTCATAAGTCCATTTGTGCATAAATTCCACGTGATTAAGAGGGGTTAAAACTGCTGTCCCAGGACTTCCCTGGCGGTCCATTGGTTAAGACTTCACCTTCCAATGCAGGGGCTGCGGGTTCGATCCCTGGTCAGGGAGCTAAGATCCCACATGCCTCAGGGCCAAAAAACCAAAACATAGAACAGAAGCAATATTGTAACAAATTCAGTAAAGACTTAAAAAAACCCAAACAAACAGCTTCCTTTAAAAAACAAAAAAACTGCCGTCCCCAGGTGTATTCCCTCTAATGATGGATGCAGGTCTGACTTTGATAATTTTTAGATCCGTCATAGATTTCCTATTCCTTGCTCATTTACATTCGAATGGATACCCTTTGCCAAAATAGACCAGTTTTACCTGCACTATAAGTCCTTAATGATGTTGTTGGAGAGTATTGAGTAGGAGAACTGTATTGCTTTGGAGAAGGGGAGTTCAGGGGTTGGTTAGTGGAAACAGAATGCGTTAAGTGAATGAAGTTAAGGTCTGTTACCAGCCTGCAGAAATAGTGCAGAAACAGCTAGGAGAACAAAGGTGGCTGCCATGATGACATTTTGGTCTCGAAGACAGTGAGACAGCCAAGATGCAGGT